ATTTTATTTAGGCCTATCTATGGCCTTCAAAAAGTTGACGACTCTACATGTTTCGACGTTACAACGTCATCCTCAGGAGTGACCACTTTAATGTTGAACATTATTTATGATTTTAACTTTATACACAAGTGCCAAAATACTATAATTGTGCTTAACATTTTTAATTTGGATGGATGTCATTGAAACTTGGAATGCGGATGTGTGATGTTTTTAGTTTGGATGGGTGTCATTGAAACTTGGGATCTATATGCGTGATGTTTTTAGTTTGGATGGATGTCATTGAAACTTGGGATGTAGATGTATGATATGTTTTTAGTTTGGATGGATGTCATTGAAGCTTAAGATATAGATGTGTGATATAGTTCTTATGTGAATGTAAGCAATAACAATATAGTGTAGGCTGCTTCTCTTGTCGTGTTACAATAACAATATAGTGAAGGCTGCTTGTCTTGTTTTGTTACAATAACAATATAGTGTAGGCAGCTTCTCTTGTTGTGTTACAATAACAATATAGTAAAGGCTGCTTCATATTGTTTTGTTGCAATAACAATATAGTGTAGGCTGCTTATCTTGTTTTGTTACAATAACAATATAGTGTAGGCTGCTTCTCTTGTTGTGTTACAATAACAATATAGTGAAGGCTGCTTCTCTTGTTTTGTTGCAATAACAATATAGTAAAGGCTGCTTCTCTTGTTTTGTTGCAATAACAATATAGTGTAGGCTGCTTCTCTTGTTGTGTTACAATAACAATATAGTGAAGGCTGCTTCTCTTGTTTTGTTACAATAACAATATAGTGTAGGCTGCTTCTCTTGTTGTGTTACAATAACTATAGTAAAGGCTGCTTCTCTTGTTTTGTTGCAATAACAATATAGTGTAGGCTGCTTCTCTTGTCGTGTTACAATAACAATATAGTAAAGGCTGCTTCTCTTGTTTTGTTGCAATAACAATATAGTGTAGGCAGCTTCTCTTGTTGTGTTACAATAACAATATAGTATAGGCTGCTTCTCTTGTTGTGTTACAATAACAATATAGTATAGGCTGCTTCTCTTGTTGTGTTACAATAACAATATAGTGTAGGCTGCTTCTCTTGTCGTGTTACAATAACAATATAGTGAAGGCTGCTTGTCTTGTTTTGTTACAATAACAATATAGTGTAGGCAGCTTCTCTTGTTGTGTTACAATAACAATATAGTAAAGGCTGCTTCTATA